AAGACTGGAGAGTTAAAGCACATTGAGGGAAGAAATCATAGAATCACAGAGTGCTTAAGGTTGGAAGGCACCTCTAGAGGTCAACTAGTCCAACCCCCCTGCACACACAGGGTCACCTAGAGCACGTGGCACAGGACTGCGTCCAAGGGGGTTTGGAAGATCTCCAGAGAAGGAGACTCCACAGCCTCTCTGGGCAACCTCGTGCATTTACTTTCTGGTATCAGAATAAATTTTATCAATTTTGATTTGCTTATTTGCTCAAACTGAGCAGCGTAATGAAGTGAACATTACTTTTAACTGACCATTGTGTTAGAAAGGTATAATAGGATGTGGATGCTAAACTTCACTCATACTGTATCAGTTGTCCATTTTTCTTTAAACACAAATAAAACACCCCTTTTTTCTTGGTAACAGCACTGTTTTCTTCCTGACAGACATTGTATAATGTGAAAACTGAAATTTTTCCCCCATTGGGGGCAGAGTATTGTAAAACAGGCTCGCTCTGCTCTTTAGAGGTGTCCATCACCCGGCTTGCGGATCTCTTAGAAGTTGATAAAGATGAAGCATTAACAGAGTCAGATGGATATTGTACAACAAAACTGATGTATGAAGGTAAGAACGTTTTTCTTGATATTCCTCATCAAAATGTTGACAAAATTCTCCTGTTTTTTGTCTTTATAATGAGTTCAGACAGACCTTCCAGGGCAATTGCCTTGTATTTTGTATGCCACTGCACAGTAAAGCAGTTTACATTTCACTAGTCTCATAATATGTATATACATATATATTTTTTCTTCACTAATCTTTCCTAAAGAAATACAAATACTCTTTGGGCTGGATAGATGACTTCTTGAGACTGAAATATTAATCCCTTTCAAGTAGAGCTGGTTTCTTCCTTTGAACAGCTGTTCACTTACAAAAGTTGGTGTAGTTTCTGTATATTGTGAAGATACCGATTAAAGAATGTTCTAAAACTGTACTGAGTCCCCATTTTAGACAAAATATTGTAAGAATCTTTTTTCTATTCCTGCAGTTGTTGACAACAGCAGTAACTGGGCAGTTTGTGGGAAAAGTTCTGGAGTGATATCTATGCCCGTAGCAGCTCGAGCAACTCACAAGGTCCACATGGAAGTGATGCCTCTCTTTGCTGGATACCTACCCTTTCCTGATGTCAGATTATTTAAATACCTCCCTCATCATTCTGCTCACTCCATGCAACTCGATGCTGGTAAAGCTTTCTCAAGTACCTGACTACTTATAGAAATTATGCTGTTTGTGTCCTGTATAGAAGAAAGCAAGACCGGGAAGTGGGTTAGCTTAGTACTGTTAGGTTTTGTTGTTACTTAGTTTCATTTCATGGTACTGATTTTACATTTCTAGCTACTTACAGAAATTATTATGCTGTTTGTGTCCTGTATAGAGGAAAGCAAGGCTGGGAAGTGGGTTAGCTTAGTACTGTTAGGTTTTGTTGTTACTTAGTTTCGTTTCATGGTACTGATTTTACATTTCTAGAAAGCTGCTCTAACAGTTTTTGTAATATTGAATTCAGGTTGTAGCCTTACTCTTGAGAGGGAATAATAAAAAAGTCTTTATATATATATATGTCTCCTTTAAAGATTATTGTATAATTATCACTGAATTCATAACAAAGTGAAAATTAATTTGAAACCCTCTAGTGCTGAGGCTTCATTGTTTATAAATTTTTAATCTATTGTGTTTTCATTAACTTTGGGGGAAAATAATTCCCACTTGCTGGAAGGATTAAGTAGTTGAAAAGCTTGTGACATCTAAATCAGATTAGATCAAGAGTTTAAATGTCTACAGCCACAAACTGTTGATTCACCTGAAATGATGAGTAGCTGTTAACCTGTCCTAAGTTGGCCAGGTATCTGAGCTCTAAATAGTTTTTAAGACATTTAATTGCTTCGAAGACTGAATTTGTGGGTTTTTGCTTAAAACAGATAGCTGGATTGAGAATGATAATGTCTCGGTGGACAAGAACATGGATGAGCAAGCTGAGAGCAGCAGCCTGAGGAGCCGCAGCAGCTTGCATTCCACGGCCAGCGGGGAGCACAAGGGTCTGCCCATGCCCCGGCTGCAGTCCTTCTCCTCCGGTCAGGTCTTCAACTGCAGCAGCGGGATGCAGATACTCGTGGTTCCCAGCAAGGATGACCACGTTCTGGAAGTCAATATCACATGACAACTTGGTATAGAAACCAAGAAAACACAAACCTTTAGGAACTGGATTTGAAAGCACTTTAATGGGTTGTGACCTTACCAGTCTCTGTTGTAACATTCTAACTCTAACCAGACCTATGGCACTCAACACTTACTGGCCATGGAAGCACCAGACAATTGTATCAATTCAAATGTACAGTGAAGCTTGTGTCAGCTAGTTTATATTGCCACTTTAGTATGTTTTGTGTAAGCTATTGGGTTTTTTCCCTTCAATCACATCCTGCTGGTAAAGATGCTTGCTGCAGTTGGTCCTTTATGTAACTTGAGCAGCCTCCAGTTTTGCTGTTTTTAAAAAGCCTGATATCTGTTCACAAAATTGTTTCCAGGTTGACATACAGTAGGCCTTGCAACGTGGCTATAATTGACTCGTGTGTGCCTTTCCAATCACACGACTGTCTGGTTTTCTGGACCAGAGTAGCTTTCAAAATTCCTGAAAAATAAGGTGTGATTCTGAATCCCATAGCATCGAGAAGATGTCAAAGATATATATATATTTTTTTCCTGAAGATTTGCTTAATGTCTTCTGTGCCTTGGGATACAGGAATTACACCTGTCCCAAGAGACCCCTTATAGAACCATCTAAAGCATCTTGAGCCATTAATTCCTGCCATACTTCTTGAAGATCATGGCCCTTGAACTTAAACCAGTGACGTGGCATGCGAGCAACTGTAGTGAAGGCTCATGGGACCATGTTTTTTTCCCTAGTGACTTCAATGAGTGGATGAACATCGTGTCAGATGCATTTTATGATGTGCTAGCTTGTTTTTTAACCAAAGTTGTTTTTTTTTCCTAGTTTCTTTTGCCCTAATTAGTGTTTACTTATGGACTGCAGAGCCATATTTTTTTTGCACCTTAATTCCAGAGGTTCTAAAAGTAAATAATGCCATTTAAGATGAAGTTTACTTCTCTGCTTCCAGTCTAGATATGGGGAGAAGGATTAATGTCCTAGAATTAAATCTCTTCTGGTCCAGCAAGCTGCAGTCATACCATACCAACTGATTATTTTTCAGTTGTAAATTTTAATGTACATATGGTTGACTATTTAAATAAAGTTACAAATTAACTGATGTATTGTCTGTATAAGTTGCACCAAAAATCAAGGATAAATAAATGTGTGTTTTTATGGTGTGGAAGTCAAAGCTTGTAAATATGTGTAGTGTTTTAAACCTTTTGCAGCTCTCAAAAAGCTCTGTAGCTTTGTATATATGTCGGTATTTCTCTGGAGTTCACAGAGGGGAGGAAGGGCGGTAGCTGGCATGAACTGGTGTGTCCAGGAGATTTGCGGCGCCTCTGGAAAAATTCTCTTCCAAGTCTTAAAGGAATAACAAGAATTTCTGCTGTTTAATAGCTCCTATAAACAAAGCAGCATAGGCCAACAAAAAAGGCAAATATTTGAACCCCTTCTCTTGTTTAGCAGCTGCCTGCTTTGTTTTCATGCTTTCTCTGTACTTTAGAATTGTCAGTTGATTTGTCAGATGCTATAAATATTTGACATTTTGATTTTTAAATAATAATTTACAGTTTATTCCACCCATGTAACTGAAATACAACAAAGCATTCAACTTGTTCACTGATGTAATAGAATCTTTTTTTCTTCTAACCATCATTAATTTGTCATTGAATCTTGTATTTAACTTTCATTTGTTTACTTAAATGCATGGGAGAGCTGTTACTATAAACATCCCTAACAGAATTTCATTCAAAGCTGAGACTTCCCATCTGCTGAGTAAGCATGTTCCATAACTGTGTGTATCTGTTATTATTTTTATTATGTTTTGACAGTTCATCCTTTCGCTTATTTCTTACCAAAGAAAGTTTGAATTTCATGGTAGGTTATGTGGCTTCCTGAGCTCCCAGATGAGTTTCCTTCATTAGCATTCAAGTGTCATAGCAATCTGTTTCCATATTTATTATGGGGCAACATTTTCAGTAGGATGTGACACAAAGCAGTCAACCTTTCATCGCCAAGGCTTAGTGTAATTATTACACAGTAGAAGCCAAGCTTGTATTTGTGATGGCAGAAAGAGGTTGGTTTTATAAAGGGAAGGGTGCAGGTGTAGCAAAATTGTGAAGCAAAGTTAGAATGTGTAACTTCATTTCAGATGTAAATAATGATTTTTTTTTTTAAAAAAAGTGTTTTAAACTGTAATTTCAGTGAATGTTGCAGATTCAGGTGTGACTGGAAATATTCCAAGTTATAATGTTCTGCTTCTGCTCTTGCAAATTGTGTGTGAGACTGACGGACCTTTTCCCCTCGTTGTTCTGTAGCCTTGCACAGCTGGGGCCCGCCACAGAGGGTAATGCCCCCGTATTGAATGAAAATACCAAGTGGGAAGCTGCTCCTTAAACAGGTTTTAAGAATCTTCCCCCTGCTCCAAAGGTGCCTTCAGGTGAAATTACAGAGGGAAGAAAAAAAAGAAGGGGAATTGAATGGAAAGTGAGTTACGGGGATTTTTAAAAATATGTAGACATGTTAACAGACAGGGTGATGGTTGAAGGGGGTCTCTCTGTGACAGTTTCCCTCTCACGGTGCCGGGACGGCCCCGCTTCCTTGGCAGGAAAAGCCGTGGCGCGAGGGAGCGCCCTGCGCGTCCCGTGCTTGGCCCTCAGCCCTCCTCGCGTGGCGCTGGCGCATCCCGTGGGACGCGGTGCCGCACGGAGGCCGCGCGCGTTGGCCCCGCCGCGCCCCGGG